GATGAGTCTCCTCCGTCATCCATTTTTAACACTGGGATGGAACTCAATGGGAAAGGAAAGGATTCTGGTTTCAACCGTTGCGTATATTAGCTGCGACATATGAATCAAGATGCTATGACCGAAAACATTTGATTGACAGATGACCGTTGATATATGATTGGCCGAATTTAGGTGTTCAGGCTGACGTAGAACTAACTGGCCTGCAGAAGATAACGCAAAAAAAACAACAGATTTTAAGACAGGATTTTAAATTATTTTTAAATAGATATTTTCTAAATTTTGGGGCAATATGGTCTGATAAAGAGTACATTTATATATATGTTTAAGGCAGAATCATTTGACATTTAAATATAATTTCCCTATGACTTTAAAACATGAGGAGAGCATTTCAGGACCATTTAGAGCCGATTTCTCAACATGGCCCTGCTGGAATTGACAACTCTTACTTTCCTGCTTAAAAAACTCAACAGTCAAACTATCTATAACTTTGATAATCATCATGAAAAACCTCTAAAAATACACTGTACGATTTTTTCCAATCCTGGCATGCAGCTACAGCTCAAACTGTACAATGAAACCTCGGGGTTTAAAAGTTCACAGCTCAAGATGTTTGTTCTCAACATTAAAAAAATCTCACACGATTGGAGAATCGGCCCGAAAAGGGGAAAAAACGTGCAGGGCATGCCCGGCTTAAAGGTGGATACAGTAAAGCTGGAAAGTTGTTCTCCTTCCTGCGAAACAAGTTCAGTCATTTGGTCAGTCACTGGGGCAATAGCAGGTTTCGGCTCACCAAGGTGGTAAGAAATAATATTTTTAATTCCTCTGCCATTGTGGAGCTTAGGGATGCACAATACCCATTGGGCCGATTTGGTGGAATTTTTTTATCGGCCCGATATGTAAAATTTTCCGATAAAAACAGCCGATAAATTAATTAAATTTGGTGGTATTTTATTCAGGCAGGGTAGTCCCAAAGTGGGACAAGACCTGTGGATACTGCGCTCCTTACTATCAGGACCCAGGCTTGGCTCCATTACTGCCCGACTGTAAATTATCAAACATGTCTTCACTAGTTTGGTCGTTTTTTTCTGTATTGCAACACCTGCTCTGCAAGGATTTCAAGAGGAGGAAAGAAGACCTCAGGGTACAACACAACAAACCTTATAACACACCTAAAAAATCGTCATCGTGGCGAAGCAACATGGAAAGAATACGAAGCAGCCGCAGCAGCAGCCGGAGGTGCTAAGGCTTAAACGACAACAACGACACGGACCGCAGATGTATCTATTCAGAAGGCATTTGAAAACTAAAAACTTTCCAAGAGACTGCAAAAAAGCTAAAGCTATTAAACGACAAAGGAATTTATAGCGCTCGACAACCAGCCTTTTTCTATCGTCGAAAAACCGGGTTTTCGTAACTTAATAGCACTTTTGGAGCCGCATTACACCTTCCCTAGCCATCGCTTCTTCTCGGACGTCTCCCTGCCTGCCCTCAATGATGCCGTCATCACATATTTGAGGATGCACTTTTATTTACTTTATTTAATTTTTTGAACTAAGGCTGACATGCATATGTGTGTCTGAACATTTTTTAAGGAGTTGGCATTTTTTCTTTCACCTTAGCTGTGGTTTGAGGGTGGACTTTATTTTTTGATAAAATTTTTGTAACTCAGGCTGACTTTGTATTGTGAATTGCTTTGTTTCTTTTGTTATGTAAAGCGAATTAACATTTTTTGTGTGATAGCATAAAAAATAAACATTTGAAGAACCAAAACCTCTTGTTTGCTGTTATAGATAAGCCAGGGCTACTAAATATTTGTTTTTCATATATGAATCCAGCAAAAGCAGCTGATTATGCAAAAACTATATTCAATATGAGCTTATCGGTATCGGAATCGACCATGAAAAGCAGAAAATTATCGGTTATTGATATCGGTTGAAATTTTTAATATCGTGCATCACTAGTGGAGCTGTTGCGTTTTGTTTAGCTACAGTGAAGAGGCTTTTAGGGAGATCATCCACTGAGCTTCCCACCTGTAGCACTCAGGCCAGAAGTTCGATGG